TTGCATAGAAGGATATTACAATCTGGCCTTTTAATCCAACTCAAATATATAGATAGTTAGTTGTCCCAGTATTTTCATGCCCAAGAAACTTTATTGCAAATTCATTTCATGATTTGGAGCAAGATAACCCTTCTATAACCCTTTGCCCAGAAAAACTAAAGGCTTTGGCAATTCAAGTTTGGACAGTCAAGTTTGGACAGTCAAAGGCCTCAGGTATCCAGGGCAGTAAGCTTTGGCGTCTTATGTCCTACTTGGGATTTATATTAGATTATCAAACTGTGGATAGTTTAGGAGCGATCAATATAGAATTTAAGGTTTTAGGTTTGCAAAGCTTGGAGTTACATGTTTCGGAAAAAGGTGTTTCGCTTGGTTTGTAGCAACAAGAACTCTATCTGTTCTGACTAGAGATGTTTCATTCCAAACCATGAGAAACTTGGTTCAAGGGGACAAGTTGGGGACACATAGAGCACTTGCCATTTTCTAGACGTACATGATCTAGAAAGTATCAGAAAGAGAAATGGCAGCCAGGAATTAATTGACACTTTTTACTTTTACTTCATTCATTATTCAATTGACTCGTACAGTCTAACATAGATAGACGTAAAATATTAAACCAAACCAACCCAACCCTTAGTACCATATCCATACATTCCCCACATATCGCATATTACTATCTACATTATCTTACTCTCGTGATTATACTTTCTCAATATCCCAACAGTAGGCCACATTGTTGGTGCATACGTGACTACAAATTCTGTACTCAGTTTCACTTCGATAGTTACTTGAATCAATGCGCACTACAACCTCGATGACTGAGGGGTGATTATTTCCTTAATAGTATCCAATTTATTTTTGGCCGTCTGAGTTACATATAGCAACATGTATTGTCCGTCTAATACTGACCACAATTCTTCAGATATCTCCCATGCCCATTTCTCAGGATGGTGAGGATTCTTGTTCATCATCTGAGCACCATCTTGCACTGAATCCCATGCCTTGTCTGTGAGTTTCCTAGTGATGAATGAAATTTTCTCAAATTCTCCAGGGAAGCATGGTTTATCAATAATTATAACTTGTTGAGCTTGTGTCTTCCATCGCTCGTATACCGATTGCCTTTTCTCCATATTGTTCTGATTACCAGTAAACTTATCATGGTCTGTTGTGGTACGGCGAGGTGTTCGGATAGCCTGTTCATTAGAAACAACATTAGGTTTAGTGATATTGCTATAAATTTGGGTCTGAAACTTATGAATCTCCTCATTCCCTGATGATATATGAGCGTTAAATTTGCCTATTCTCGTGTTCAATATATTAATATCATTCAGCCGGCTTTCTATTTGTTTGGTTTTATGATAAATGGCTTCACATAGCTTTGAAGACTCTTGATGGGCACATTTAACCTTTCATTAAGGTCATTGACGTGTCCTGTCATGCTTTTAAAGTTATATTCGTTTTTTGAAATTGTTGCTGACTGGCAGGAAGGTTGACTATTAAGAATGCTAAATTTAAAATCAACCCTTTTTTTTGCATCAGATTTTGATTGCGTATGCAGCTATCTAGCTATTGACACAATATCAAAGAAAAGTATAGAATGGATGATTCAACGTAAAGGAAGAGCACTCATGCCTCAGATTTCATTTGCAAGTACCACTGCAAAGTTATGGTGGCTTGTTCTTCACCCCAAGTCAACCCTCATCTGTGAATACCCACCCAGGGGAACGTCTCAAAAGCCTTGAGTTATCCAGACATGCCTCCATCATCCATTTACATTTCTCCGCGCGAAATATGGTCTTTGGTGTCTCCTTCCCAAGTTGAGTAGGTACCCAGGCTACTCAAATTATGCCAGAGAGCACCACCAGGAGGCGGACCACAGCACCTTCCATCGTCGGCTTGTTTTATAGTGTCAGCTGCACTCTCGCAAGCGAAGTCTTGTCACGCACGAAGCCCAGTTCGTAAAACTCCTTGCCAAAATTCGGAATCTCACGCCCTTCGAGGTTATATCCTTCCTTCGCATCATCTTGTCAGCTTGTCCTGATCCCTCTCACGTCCATCCCAGGGAACTGTCTCCCACATTTGTGCGCCACACTTTGCTTCCTCCGTCGGGTATAAATATCGGCGTGGGCGTGTTTTTGGCGGTCAAATGAGGCCAGAGAAGGTTGAAGATTGGTGTGATCATTAGGATGAGGATGTACTAGGTCTTACTTGTAGACTTGATGAGACTTAGGTAGGCGTCAAACTCGTTGGGAGCGGAAAAACGACGTGGTGGAGTAATTTTAAATTTTGCCTCGTGGGCCAACTTCTTTGATATTGCGAAATTTGACTGAACTTGGCTCTGGGAGAATATTTCACTCCCAGGTTCTTAGAGGACACCGCGTACAGGTGTTCAGTCTTGCCCTCCGAAGTAGTACATCATGTAGGCTGGTACGCGAGGTAAAGATTGCATTGCCGAACATCTGTGTCTCTAAATGTTACGGCGTGCGCTAAGGATACTGGGGATCGCCGTATGCCGAAGCTAAGGTATTAATAACTGTTAGAATTACAGTTGCTAACGAAGGATACTTAGATATGATTCGATTGGCGAGGTGCCAGGTAGTCTAAGGTTGTGGAACTACTGAATAGTCGTAAGACACGAAGTCAAGAAGTCGAGTTGACGAGCAGGCGATCAAGAATGATAACTCAGGGTGAACTGAAGTACGAAGAATGTAACAAATAACGAAAGACTGAGAATATCGGATTGTGAGAATATAAGATTATAACATTATGTAAATCTAGATTGCAAGATCAAAGATCAAAAGAATGAAAGATTGAGAAGCTGGAGAGCTACTATGTGGCAGCTCCAGCTTCCTTAAGTCTAACTCGAGACAGTACTTGAACTCAACTAAGACTATGACAAATGCCGTCATGACGCCAGCCCCTCCATCTCTAACTGTAGGAGTTTTCTCGGAAACCTTCTTGGTAAACCTTTTCCCAAAACCTTCCTCAAAACTTTCTCCTATCACTTTTTCCTGAGAACCTTCCCCTTGAAACCTCTTCAAGGATGCCTGGCCATACTACTAAAGGCGGGGGATGGCTGGTTCAAATCCAGTAAAGCCCATTTAAAAATCGCGCTGCTCACATTTTTGGACAACCAAAGGTTTTGAGTCTCCTTTTGGCGAGCACCGACGGAGATGGGCCGACTATTTTGCGCTAGTAAAGACACATATGTGGTATTTACGAGTGAAATCCAGGGCTTGACTATCTTCTAACTCATAAGAGCTCGGGATTGGAAATACACGTGTCTATCTTCAAATTATCGGGACGCTTTAAGACAGTGTGTATAACTTTTATGGGAGATAAAGGCAGAATTTGCAACATCTACTGCTACATTTTCCCAAATTCAGAGATCAAAGAAACAGATGTTTTCAGGGCATAGAGCTAAGAACAATCACCACAATATTTCGAACAATTAGAGGAAAGAAAGCCCTAATTAAATTTTTGAACATATTTAAGTGCATGGCAGCACACAAAGGAAGTTGGAATAGGATACCTCAATAGGAAATTAATAAGGAATTTTGAAGATTGGATTTTAGTAAGGAGTTCTGGGGATAATGATGTTATGCTTTTATTACACTATTTGAGTCATAGACTACCTAGCACATTGAGCTCCTCTCTGACCCAGGCCACATCTTGTACAGTGCCCCTCGCCTCTTGTATTCCTTGAAAGATCATTGATATATTGCCCGCGATAAATAGCCTTACAGCTCAGTATTTACCAGTGGAATTCTGCCTTCTTTTCCACGGAACCTTCCAGCCAAAAAAAATAAAAAAGGTAGCATGGAAACTGCGTGCGCGGGAAAAAGTCTCAAAAAACCTGCAGCCCCAGCCAGGCGAGGCCTAGACACCGGGACCACATGAGGTACGCATAATCATCTATGTCTACCTTCTTTGTAACAGTCAAGGCCAACTTGATCCGATCAATCATATCCGTATCGGGTGCTAAGTACGCTCCGGAAACTCATCGGATGGCTTTTTATCCATTATCAAGGGTTGGTGATGAGTGGGGCTCCGACTCTACCATCTGATCTAGTCGTGGTTAGCTTCATGAAAATGGTGATAGGGGAATGTGTTGAGAGATGAAGACGATGCAGACCGCGAAAGCGAATAGGAATCATCATCGAAGTGAGGACTTTGTTACTCAATCTCGGCTCTGCAGACTCTACAGTGAGAGATGGAGGTTCGTAGGGGACACCACTTACAGGTGTTGAGAATAGTCCCTCTAGTTCTGGTGATAAAAATATAGAAATAATATGACATAGCTAGATAGCTGAATAGACATTAAATGCTAAAAAAGGCATCAAACGATCTACCGCACCCCGCCCTGCTTCACGAAATATTCATGCGTTGTTTTTTGATTTGCGTTTGTTGACCTATCTTAACATTTATGCTAGAAGTGTCGCCTGCCCTCGGAGAAATTAAACCCCCAGCTTCTAGAAATCTCCTCGAAGCCCTACCAAGTTCACGCAGGGTAGAGTTGGCTACATGAGTTTTTGGAATTACGAGTTATTAAGGATTTGTAAGATAGTGCTTAAGATCGCGTGGACTAGAATTCAATCCTAAAATCCAAATGGCTCGGACTAGCTCTTTCATTCGTTTCGCTTTGAGTTATATCCACCCCACAGTTTCCCGATTGGTTGTGTCCCATCCAATAATCATGAGCTCCGAGGATACGACCCAAATTGCCTCTTCCCACAAAATTTATTGATCCGCAATAAGTTTTTTTGCTTGCCCAGTTTTCCAATATGCAAAGGCCTCAACGCGAGATTGAGGTTCTTCATGCTGTTGATTTTGTGCATGAAACTACAGAAATTTTAAAAACTTGACGCGCCGTGTTCAGATAATTCAAGATTTTAAAATTCAATGATGTTAGGCCTGCGCCGAATATTAATGCGCAAATAGAAAGGTAAATTAGCTTCATATTAAAAAGTTTCTATGGTTTTACAATATCCTCATTTGAAGCCCTATTCTCGGGCTGCCCCTAAACGACTAACATCCCAGCCTTGGCTCTCGAGATAAGCACGGAACTCACGATCCTCAGTGGTGATAGTATCCTGACCGACGTGGGGCAAACAGCACATAGATAGGATTGCTGTCAATATGCAGAACGCACTTGAGACATAAAATGGATACTGGGCGCCACGCGCAGTGCTAGCACCCCCACCAGCAGCTTCAATGTACGGAAATATATAGGTACCTACAAAAGCGCCAACTTTACCTACGGCGGCAGCAATAGCATAGTATTGTCCGCGAACGCCTGTCGCACAAGTCTTGGATGCGAGGAGGCCAATATTGTCACCGGGACCGAATTCACCTAGGGAAAGAAATACACCATAGACGATAGCAAACCCACCAACATTCTCTACACGTGAGAGAATTGGATATAGGCTGGCCATGATGAAACCTACGATTGCTTGCAAGGTGACGCCGATAGAAAGTGCATAACGAGGACCAACCATGTCCGAGAAAATAGAGCCTAGCATTGCACCGGGAATGTAGAAAAGGTTGATGATTGTATTCCAGCCAAAGATCTTTGGAAGGGAAGCTGATTCTCCATAGATGTTGGAGAGAATGGTGGAAGAGAAAATCCCGAATGAATATGTTGAGAACTAGCTTTGTCAGACAACTCGCATCTGAAGGGCTTTCTGGGGGTTTTACATCGTAGAGAAACCAGATCAGACTAACGACAAACAACCTCCACCAGTAGTACTTGATGACTAGCAAATAGGGAATTTTCACATTCTTCATACTCTCCCTACTCTAATTAGTCTAGTCAGTGAGAAGTGTGGCAGGGAAAACCTCCTTGGTAAACTCTTCAGGTTCCTTGAGTTTAAAGCGGAACATTAGCAGAAGGATAGGAGGAACAACACCTAGCCCAAGCATAAGTCTCCAGGCTAGACGTAAATGTTTGTCTGTGGAGATGACGACAACCACATACGGTACAAACGCTCCAACAACAAATCCCCAGTCAATCATTACGTTGGTGAAAAGAATAAACCATCGATTTCGAGAGCCCTTCTTCAATTCGCCCGTTGCTTCGGAACAAGAGACTGAGCCAGCGGGGTATTCACCACCAATGCCGATGCCAACTAGGAAACGGTACGCAGTGAGGGCCGCAAAGAGACCTGAAGCAGTGCCTCCACCGTAACTACCAGCTCCCATAGCTGCGAACAAAATAAGGATGAATGTAGAAAGCTGCAACGAGCCTTTGCGGGACCACTTGTCACTTGTGTATCCAAATATTAGCTGGCCTAGGACGGTGCCAGCAAAGGTGATAGCCGAGACATTTTTTTGGGCGCTGGAATGAGTGTAAGTTTCGCCGTAGATAGTCTTGAGGATAGTAGAGACAGATCCGATTACCTGTAGTTATAGGTTAGTTAGTAGTCGTATAAAAGACAGCCGCGGACGTTATTAATATATCCGTCAGAGAAAAGCCCAGCACCGCAAGCCATGACGGTCCAAATTTGATCCCAATCATTCTTTCCTTCATTTCCAGTCACTACATCATCTGGGTCATTTTCAGAGTTGGACTGTCGAATTTCATCGCCCAGCGCTACAAAATCACTTTTGGTGGTGCTCGACATTGAGTGTTGACCTACGTCGATTGGAGGGGGCCAGAAAATTATTAGTGACGGTCGAGGCGATAGCGTGGAAAATGTATGTAAATTTAAAAATTTCGGACATTTATGGAAGTGGGCGAGTGGAGGTTAGCTTTCAACGTCGACGAAGCTCGAACGCTCGCCGATTACTTCTGTCAGCTCCATCTTTGCACTTTACGATCACATCAGCACCCTAATTTCGACCCTTCATGATCGCTCGTATCTTTGCATGGGGGTCCCGGGATAGGGATCTCGGCTACATTTCTGCAAGACGGTGAGCTGTGTCTATCTTGAGCCAGGATTTTATTGGAGGGCACGTGAGCAGCAAAGAACATTCTGTGGCCTGACCGGACCTTTCGAGCCCCTGACTTGATTACTTCATCTGAGTTATTACCGGAAAGTTAGTCACTAGCTTCATACTAACTTCCCCAATCTCGGCGCATCCACAAATATCTATGCAGCTGAAGCGCAGAAGTCCACTTGATTCTCCATAATTTAATGGCCGCTTGTGTGCCCCAGACTAGGCATACTTAAGTCGCGTGTACTTTTTCCAGCCTAAATATTGAAACTCCTACCATTTCTCCAGCAACTAAAAGTTTTATCCTATGGACAACATATGTCTCACCGGATCGTAAGCATGATACCTGCGGATTTAAGCCCTTGGCTCATATGATCCGATTATGAGCTCTAGTAAAGTCAGTCTCTGTTTAAATCAGACCGATTAGCAACTTGTAATTGCTAAGTTGCATCACTAGTTGACCGCCAGATCATACTAACTGACGTTCGGAACGATTTTGCTCGCAAAGTTCTCACACAGCGAAATAGCTAATGGTCATTATCTTTAATAACTGATAACGTGCTATATCGCACGTGGTATGGAAAATTAGCCTAATCACACGATATCCTGACTCTCCCTGCACGAGGCAGAACCTAGATCTAATCGCCTCAATTCATCCCATACTGAGTGTTAGGCAGGGACCCTATGACGGAAGGTCTGTTCGGGGGTACCCATGTGAACACTCAGCCTTGTTAAGAATTAGCGGAACTGTGACTGAGTCATACACTATTTCAGCTTTGGGCTGATTATTTTCTCTCTCCGTACGAGTAAAGCTATCGACGAATACAACCATCATGAAGGCAATACGATCAAGCAGATTAACATCAGGGCAAGAAAAACTCTAACAGTCAACAAGGACGTTAGAATCATTTTTGGACCAACAATAATCACCCAAGGTCAAATGCTCAAGTAAATTAAATTTTCAGAGTACATCGTCCCATAAATCCACAGGATTCAAATTATTAAACACTGCTTCATTGTCATAGAGGATCAGGCTAGTAAGAAAATTTACCATGTCATATCCCAAATTATGTCAGAAGATTAGGCTAGGCTATATTGATGTCTATAATTCGCCCAATGAATTTGCTCACATCTCGCGGTAATCTCAGATACAACTCACGACACGAGTCGCAATAGTGCTAGAAAGCTGAGAAGAAAAAAGGGAATGCTTGTGCAGTTACCGAACTGCGGTGTGCAGCTTGTTATCGCATCAGACGATATCACTATCTCTGCAACCGTTTAAGTATTTTTATAGCTGCCATATATCTATGACCGTTCGTGTTTGGGCTATAAATTAAAATGGTTCCCTGTAACCATTTCCTATGAAAAAAATAATCCAACCGGACTTTGCAGATATACACGCGCTACAGATACCTTTGGTCAAAAGAATGAAGACCAACACTCGCTGTATTGTCTCACTCTGAATTAAACATGAATAAAAGAGAATATAAACTTGACGTAGTTGAACTACTTTCTACAAAAGCTCCGAAGATTTTGGAGAATAAATGTAGATTTATAAAGAAGACAAATTTGCAATTGTGTTTCGGCTCATTAGTTCCGCCTGGAATAAGGTAAATTCAGATAAGAATTCAGAAGAGAGAAACAACCCATAAATGTATTTTCTGACTGTAGCCTTATTTTAATCTAGGTTATATCGCAATAAGTATTGATTTCTTAATAGTCCATCCCACTAGTCTGTCTTCTTCAGATCCCAATGTAAATATATGGTTCGACTTACGGCTCCATCTTTTTGACTTATTGTAACTTGCTACACATGACTTCAACGCTTATTAGTTCAAAAATAAGGATTACTTGGATAAATGGGGTCTTGTCGTTACCAACAGTTATAGGGTTACAATCGGTGCATGCATCAACTTCTTTAAACCAGAAGCGTGGATGATATCTGCATTACTTTCGACCCTTAAACAAGTTCTGCCCGATTTTTGATTGCCAAACAGTCCCATGACAGTCGTTAGTTAGATAACCGTGTGTTAGAATCTACGAGTCAATTGAGTAATGTAAAAAGTAAAAAGTATCAATTAATTCCTGGCTTCCCTTTCTCTTTCTATTACCATCTAGATCATGTATGTCCAGAAAATGGAAATGCTCTATCTGTCCCCAACTTGTCCCCATGAACCAAGTTTCTCATGATTTAGAACGAAACATCTCTAATCAGAAGATAAAGAGTTCTTATTGCTACAACCCAAACGAAACACCTTTGTCCGAATTAAGTAACTCCAAGCTTTGTAAACCTAACACCTTAAACTCTATATCTGACATTAATCGCTTCCTAGCTATCCATAGTTCGATACCGTGCTCCAAAACTAAGCTCAGAGAAATGGAATGAATGAATATCTATTCGTGACGGGCACAAGTCTAGCACTCATTGAGCATGACACGGAGAAGAAAAGTCCTTCACCGGTGAATACATACGATAATAACTCAGTTTGAAATTTGGACTACTCATGTAGTGGATGCATTCGCTGAAACTACTCGATCTCTTTGTGCCAGGGGATTTAACCCTTCCTTCAACCGTTAATATTTGTCGGGTAACTGGGAGCCTGACCTGTGACAGGTGAAGTGTATGTAATTAAAGTAAAAGATAACTCAGTAAAAACAACTTGATTCTTATTTCTCCCGGAATTTTAGGACTATATGCACTGATCATGATTGACTTGATCTCTTGATGTCTAAATATAAACATACGCTAGGAATAGAATAACCGGCGGTTCTAAATACAGAATTCAAGCACTCAACGAAACAAACAACCCACATACGTATGGACAGTCTCTATTTTTTACCAGAGACATTTCCCTGTCCAACTTCTTCGGTGGTTATTCTTAGCCTTCGACAATATTCACCAAAGGGGAAACAGGAAAAACCTTTGGCTACCCTAACATGCCTTTGCCATCTTGTGTAAAGCCACCGTGCGATATATGGTCTCACAATCCTCTCTTTCTCGGGTGAAGTAGGTGTCCAGGCCACCCAGACTTTACTTCGGGGAGATGACGAGCAGGAGGCGGAACAAAACACTTTCCATCGTTGCCTATTTTTAGAGTGTCGGTAGCACTCTCCAAAATCGTAGCCTCAGCGCTCATAAGACCTTCAAAGTCGAAAACACTCGAAAACATGCGTCCCAGCATGCCTATTTTTGATCTGTTCACCCGCTTGTACCACAGCCCAGCTGCCTCTCCTCTCTTAAGAAATGAAGCCAGATTAGAGCAACGGTCCCTCATAGAACAACGACTGAGCTTTGTAGACTATGCCTTAATTTCCTCCTCGCAGATATACATAGCATCAAAACTTTGTAGTGGGAAACGGCCGATTTTTGGTGAGGCACATACCCGATTGCAATTGCATTAACGCGATCGCCGGAAGTTGAGGCCAGTTGGTTTGTGGTGTGAGTAAGTTGAAGGACTCTCATAAGAAAGACAGGTCCAAAATTGACGAGAAGTCGTTGATTATAGATATGCTTTAAGTTGTTTTCGACTATGATTTGTTGGAAATCTAGACTTAGTGTGTATGAGGGTTTAGATTTCTAAGTATGATCATCAAGATCTATTGAATTGATTCGATTACATATGGTTAAGCTTGGCTGGGCGACATGAGGTTCAGTGGTATCTGAAATGCAGTAGCTAGGAAATGCTATCCTGCGATAATTGAGTGGCTGGTTATTGCTAGATCACTTGGAGTTTGGGATCACTATAGCCTCGAGAATCTGTATTTAATGATAGACTCATCGGTGTATATTAAACTGAATTGATGTTGGAAAATATACTCTGTGCAATATTATATTGATATATCTGATGAAGTATAGAAAACTTTGTTAAATTATAAGGAGGGTTGGTCAACATAATCATCCCTACAATTTAACATAATGGAGTTAGGGTTGTGGTTATTGGTTGCCTAGGAGTTAAAAAGGGTAAGGCGTCTGTTGTTTTTTTATTTTTTATTTTTATTTTTTTTAATCATTTAATTTGTATTCAGCTATGGAGCTATGACACATGACCGGTGCTATGTATACATGTAGGATGACTCTTTTGACGTTAGAGACACTCATACTCTGGATTTCATTCGCAAATACCACTATGAGGTATGCTTGCTTACACAAACAGTCGACCCTCCTCCGTTAGTACCCACCAAAGGGAATTTCGAAACCTTTGGTTATCCAAGCAAGCCTTAGTCATCCATGCATAACAGCGCCGCGAGAAATGTGGTTGTGTTTTGCCGGATTTGAACCAGCGATCTACTGTCTCAAGTGGGATATGTGTCCAAGCTATCCAGACTCGGCTTGGCAGACCGGCCAAGACGATGTACCACCGCACCATCCAACCATGGCAGTTTTTATAGTGTCGCCTGCACTCTCGCAGCCGAAGACTTGGCACGCACAAAGCTCAATTTGTAAAAACTCCTTTCCAAAATTCAAAATTCCACACCCGTCGAGACTGTATCCAATCCTCTGCATCATCTTCTTAACTTGTCCTGATCCCTCTCACATCCATCCCAAGGAATTGTCTTCCAGATTTGTGCGCCGCGCTTTGCTTCCTCCGTCGGGTGTAAATATCGGCGTGGGCGTGTATTTGGTGACCGGCTAAGGCCAGAGAAAGTCGACAAGAGGTGTGGTCATTGGAATGAGGATGTACTAGGT